TAATGACAAAAATATGACAATTACGTGTATGTATAGGGAAATTATCTGGGAGTACATCGATATCGACTTTTCAGTCAAAAACCCACAGGAAATATATTTTAAAAATCTCAAGAAAATACGAGGGGTAATCGGCCACTAGAATCTGAATAGGATTTATGAAGGTGGTGTTCTCGGCCGCGATGCAGGGTCATGTCTTGACTGTATAGGACTGTAAAAGGTTCTTTAAGAAACTATCATTAACATTTTGACACAGTTCACTATTTGTTACGAGAGAGGAGTGCAGAGAAAGGGACAGCCAGGTGTGCAAGAAAGGATTGAGACGGCACAGCACAAGCTAATGAATCGATAACTTGGTGGGCACTTGTGCACGTGCTTCTCTAACACCTGGCTGTCCCTTTCTCTGCACTCCTCCCTCGTAACAAATAGTGAACTGTGTCAACATTTTAATGATAGTTTCTTAAAGAACTTTTTGGTGGAGTCCGGAAAATTTTCAAATATAAGAAAGCTGTTGGGTATTAGTAAATGATAAACATGTGTACTATTTATATTTATGTGGAAATTTTGTACAATGATAAAATTTGCAATTCATCGGTCCGTTTCTGACTCAAACGGACTGTAGTCAAAAGGGCCCAATATAATAAAATAATAATAATAACATATATTTTCACAATTATTATAGTAAAGGTTATACATGTATACAATGTATATTTTATGCATACTAGTCCTGTTTTTAATAGATATTTTTTTCAATATTAGAAAGAAAATAATGACAAACAATAGATGTATATAATGCTTATTTATTTCATTTCAGTATCAAATACTTGTCATTTGTGATTATGACAAATATAATGTGTTTAACAATAGTACCACAACACACCAGTAAGAAACTAAAATATTACACAAAAACACATATACACAACATATCCCTTTCATGCCATATTTGTGTTTTGACTATCATGTAAGTTGTCACTAATCCCTAGGATGTCTTGTTTTCTCTGGTCTTCAGTGAATATTGTTTTCTTTGTTATTAAACCTTACAACTGACATTGAGTTGACTCTGTGTCAATGTGTGACTATAAAATCATGGACAAACTTGTTTATGATATCACTTCCCTACACTATGGCAGTAAAGTGTGTGACGTGTTTGAAAACAGTGGGGAAGAACCAGCATGCCATCAAGTGTGATTGTTGCACAAGATGGACCCACAGGGCATGCGACCCAGGAGTACAAGAGACCAGTAGTTACAGCTTGTGGACAGTGGGGATCGTTTTCCTTTTAGCTGTCACATGTGTCAGTACACAGAAGATGCTGCTGCATCTGTCAGTATAGAAGTCGGTCATTTCCATCTGACGTTGGAGACTTCTACAGGAGATGGATCAGACCAAGTCCCTTGTGCTGATATACGAGACATCACAGACTTTGCTGAGAGGTCCATGGAGCTTTCAACTGAAGAAAGTGTGTTATGTCCAGGACAACCAGAGACAGTTGACTACACAGTACTGGATAGGGGCACACAGAAGGGGAAGGCTCTCCTCGTTTCGGGAGGATATACTTATGTTCAAAAGGTTGGTATACGTCAACATGTATAATAGTAATAGAAATAATTCAGACTTTTGCATGATGGCAAATTGAAAATGTACACAAGAAGAACAGCCAGCAGGACCCAGGAGGAGGTGTTGCTGCCTGGAGGCTCTTTAAGAATGGAGACATTAGCCCGATGGAACTGCTGAGCTTGTGTTCGAGGCTGACAGGACCAGCCCAGTGTGGAAATTGAATGCGATCTGTTGAAATGATGACTTAGTGTGCATATGTCATAATCATAAATGACAAGTGTTTTGATACCGAGATGAATACATAACCATTACATACATCTATTGTTTGTCATTATTTTCTTTCTAATATTGAATAAAATATCTATTAAAAACAGGACTAGTATGCATAAAATACACATTGTATATATGTATAAGCTTTACTATAATAATTTTGAAAAAAGATGTTATTATTATTTTATTTATTTCCTGCCCTTTGAATAGGGGTCTGAGGCCCTTTTGACTTTCTTGCGGCCCTTTTGACTTTTCCGTTTTGCGGCCCTTTTGTCATGTGGCCCTTTTGACTAGGACCCTTTTGGTGTATATGAGTTCAGTTTTGAGGATTTGTTCACCGTTTGTATGGTAGGCCTGCTTGTGGCCTTCGGTAAACCATCTGTCAATGTTGTTGTTTTTCAACTGGAATCTTTCCCATATTGTTTTTCTTTATTAACGTTCGGGATCATCCATCATGTTATGATCAGGGGCGGATACAGCTTTTGAAAAATAGTGCATAGTTAATTTTGCCCGAGACCAAATGGCAAGCTTAGAATGTGTGTTTGGGATAAGGTGGCAAATATACACAGCCTTCCACGCCGCCTCTTGTGGCTTTGTGACCCAATGGTTAGTTGCAGACATTAATCTGCATAAGAGTTAACTCAACTCGTAAAAACTCGGTTTTCATTTTATTGTTTACCTGAAATTATCTTCAGACACTCTTCACAGCTTGTGTTACAGTTTGTTACAGCCAGATGCATTAATTAGTTACTTGTATGTTACCTCTACACTAAGACTTGTGTCACAGAAAACTACTGATAGAGGATGCATTTCTCAAACATACGTCTGCGATGCTTTTTCACATATTTGTGAACTATCTCATCAGAAACTATTTTCTTGTCCTGGTTCAGGTGGATCAGTGTCAGTCCAGTCAAGCGCTCCTGATCCATGGTACTCCTCAGATGCATCTTCAGCCTTTTAAGGCTGGAAAATGTCCTTCCTGCTTCAGTGCTTGTAACTGGAAGTGTAACGGCAATTGTGAGCAACTTACGGATGTTAGGGAAAACATTCTCATCAGCAGATTTCAAGCTTTCGATTGCACCTTCAGAGGTATTCCTGTGACAACCAATGAAGGCGCCAACTTCGGAGTTCTGCCAGAAGAGAAGACACCATTGGCAAGTCATTCTCCCAGAACATTAGGTTTGCTTCCAACTGTAGTAGATCTGGTTGCTGTACAGACGCACATGGCAGAAGACCAAACAGTTCAATTCCAGGACGGTTCTCTGGACTGAACCTTGTGTTCATCTCTTCTTGCAGGTGGTCAAGGAAAAGGAATGATCAAATTGAGCTTGTTCTTGAAGTGTTCATTCGCTTTCTGTGTCATCCTGAGGATGGTGTATTTCAGCATCAAGCTTTCTGTGTCATCCAAGCTTCTTCACAATCCGAGCGAACGCCGACGTATTTCCCCACAGCATCAAGCTGTTCTGCAATAGCACAAGCTTAAACTCAGTCAGTACCAATACCAATCATGACTCCTTTGATCTACATCAGCCCTCATGGTTTTGATCATTGATACCATTTCGTCAATAAGTTTGTAAGCCATGCAGATGTCATTGTCCCTTTTTTGAAGTTTGACTGCCAGTGGTTTAACAGCTTCAAGTGCATTATGGGCCACCACAAACGCCATGATGTGTTGCGAATCTCTCAGAATGGTCAAAAGCCCTTGTGCTTTTATGGTTGTCTCTTTGTCCCATGCCCAGTTCTCATCACGATAAATGTCTGCATGGTTTCGAGGATATAGGATGGCCTCAAAACATGTGCAAATGTGGCTATACAACGTTTGAAAGACGTCAAAGCACACATGCCTCTCAACCCATCTAGTCTTGCAAAATCCCCAAAGACGAGTTCTTTTCGTATCAGTGCAAGACGCTTTCAGAACTCTCTCTAAAAACCTCTGGCGTTTTAATGAATTGTCAAAAAAGAGCAAAACTTGGTTGATGTTGTCCATCATGTTTCTGATTGGAGGGATTTTGCATGAAGCCGCAATACTCAGATTCAGAACATGGCTGTTGCAATGCGTGTACAAAGCCGTAGGTGCCAATGTTTTGACATGAGCCTGAACACCAACTCGAGATGAAGACATGCAGGATGCACCATCATAGCTTTTTCCTCGACACTTGGTGATATCAATACCTTGGTCTTTCAGTGACTTTAAGATAGCCTCTGCAATATGCTGACCTGTTGTTCTTTCTAAATGTACATAATCAAAGAATGTCTCTTTCATAGTCATTGTTTTTTGATCAACATATCTCAGGCAAAAACCAAGAACCTCAACATTGGAAAACGTATCTGTGACTTCATCTGCAATCACAGAAAACACAGCCCCTTCTTTTTGAAGCTGAGTGACCACCTCTGAGCGAATGTGGTCACCAACTACTTCAATGAGTTCAGTTTGAACTGTTTTGCTGGTATATTGGGTGTTTCTTCTGCCAAATTCTAAATGATGACGTAGTTCGTCATCTCTATCCGCCAGTAGATTTAATATGGCCAGCAAGTTTCCCTTGTTTGGCTGTTCTGATGTCCTGTCATCTCTGTGCCCCCTCAGAGACAAACCTTGTCTGCCACAGAGTATCACTGTGTCAACTATTTGTTTCAGAATGTGGCAGTTCAAGTCGTACATCTCCTTATTCTGTTGAGATGTTCCGATAAGGTAACGACTTTTCAGGTTCTTTGTAAATGCGGAGGAAGTCCAACGCCCCAAGAACAGCTTGTTTGTGAAAAAAGGTATTCTGGTGAGTCTCAAATGCACCATTTTTCGCAGTTGCTTTAGACAAATTTGTGAAAGGATACTTTACTAAAGACCCTGCGCACTTTCGCTCATCACCCAGGTTCAGAAACAGAACACACATTATACATAAGCCTCCACCTGCTGCTGGACTGTACACTAGCCAACTGTACTTATTCAACCAGCTGTGCTGGAATACAAGACGTGTTACTCGTTTCTGTTGTGGTCGAGCTCTTGTTTGCGAAACAAACCCATCATATTCTGAAGTGGGATGAAAGTGATGTTTCGGGTATTTGTTTTTTTGATCTTTACTCAAAGTACTGAGGTTAAGCCGAAACAATCCCCGTCGTCAATCCCGTCATACCTTACAGACGTGCTCTCCGTCTCAACTGGATCAATGCCAGGCACCGACATTTTCGGCTTCTTGTTAGCTGGTTCACTGCTGCTGTCCTTCATATCCCTGGTATCGGATTGTGAGAAACCAGACGTTGTGAAGCCTTTTTCGGGTGCCTTTTCCCCATACACTATCAGCTGAGTATGTGTTACCCAGATTCACACTTTTCACTTCGGAAAACTCTGTATCTGGCAAAGCACACTTACTTTCCATCTCTCAGTTTCAATACAGGCCACAAAATGGTTTCCATCCCGCTGTGTCTGTGCTGGTCATGTGCGTCCACATTATACAGATAGGTGGGGTCTTTATTTCCCCAACGAGTGGTGTGATGGTTTGTTGCATATCCTTTCGATCAGTTGCTACACTCCGAATGTTGGGATAAACCGATATGACCCTGCGCTGAAAGGCATTGCCTTCCGCGTATGTGTATAAGAGAGGAATGCCGTCCATTGTTTACAGTGTTAAGTACCTCTTTCCGAAATGTGTGTTGCATAGATGAAGTCACAAGTGATTCAGCAGCTGCTGAGGTAACAACGACATACTGTAACAAGTTCTGCTTTTCCTTGGCTTTCCCACCTGACATAGAAGCAAGTGATGACTGGTTGATGTATAGCTTCTCTTTCATGACAAGTTCATTTATGATACGCACTCGGCATTCCAGATGGTGAGTTTCATCACCCCCCAGCGATTTGGTGTAAGGGCAAACCAGACACCTGACTAGCTGAAAACTCTAGGGTATGCGCCAAATATTGGGAATGGTTATTATCGTGAAGAGATATGGCACTGCTGTCCCATTGAAATCAATGTTATAGACTGTTGTATTCAGAAATTACAGTGGAGATGGATTGGCTGTTTTTAAGACTTTCTATTCATAATCATCTTAGTGTGAGATACCGATCATAGGTCCACCGAAAACTTTGGAAAGGGCGGGGGGTGCACCCCCGTTTTCACGAGAGTTTCAATGGTCATTTAATCACTTTCAGGACAAAACTTTCGTCCATAATAACATGTTTTCTACATGTAACAATCTTACTTAGTCAACAAGATAAATTTAAAACCAACAGGTACACAAAAATTATTGCAAATCGGAAAAAAACTATGGAATGAACACAATAGCACATTGGCCATCTGTAAGCTGAAACTAAATTTATATGAAACAAAATGAAAACTACGAAAACGAACTATGAAGCCCTATTTTGGCAACGTAACTAGATAATGAAATCTAATCCAAAAATGATTGATTTATCATGAAATTACGAATTAGCAACACTGGGATGAGAAATCCTAGAAAAACAATTGTCAAAGGTCTATACTGCTCGAGAACCGAGATGAAAGACCAGTTATAAAGAATGCAGCCAGTTATTACTATTCGCAGCAGCGATGTGTTGGTGCGTCTGGTCAGAACGAAAGGCGAGCGAGAAGTGACAATGCCTGCTTTGGACTGTGAACCTTTTGGTGCATTCACAGCACCTGGACATGGACCAAGTCACACCAAGCGATTTGGTGTAAGGGCAAACCAGACACCTGACTAGCTGAAAACTCTAGGGTATGCGCCAAATATTGGGAATGGTTATTGTCGTGAAGAGATATGGCACTGCTGTCCCATTAAAATCAATGTTATAGACTGTTGTATTCAGAAATTACAGTGGAGATGGATTGGCTGTTTTTAAGACTTTCTATTCATAATCATCTTAGTGTGAGATACCGATCATAGGTCCACCGAAAACTTTGGAAAGGGCGGGGGGTGCACCCCCGTTTTCACGAGAGTTTCAATGGTCATTTAATAACTTTCAGGACAAAATGGGGGGTGGGGTGCGCACCCCTGCACCACCCCCTCTGGATCCGCCTATGAATGGTACTTACAGTTTCACTTCCTAGTATTTCAGCGCTTTGCGCGTAGGAATGTCAACACCAGTCTTTAACAAATAAAAACTTCTCTGAGCGCCATAGGCTTCGCTAATTGAAACAGTGTAGTCTATCTTGTTCTTATTGGTTTGATTTTAACAGAATGGGCCTGCAGATTTCATTCAGGGCCTGTACATTTTAAGGCCTACTGGCGGCAGCAGGCCCTGATGTCCAACTGGCAAATTAAAGTATTGCATACACTGTGTTAAAGCAATGCTATTTCTAAAATGAGTCCATTTGTAATATCATGCAGAATTCCTATGCCAGTGACCAATGTGCCGAAACAGATACAGCAGGGCTATTCAGTCAAGTTATATAATACTGTTAAACGTTCACCCTGTTCGATCAAGCAAAACAAAAGTGCTTATTGTCAAAGTGTTCATGGCTGGAGGGAGGAACAAGAAATCTTACTTAATCTAACTCGTCTGTGTGCATGAGCGTGCGTTGTGCATGTGGATGTGTATGCTTTCTTGCATGTGTGAGTGTGGGTCTCTCCTGCACTTTGTGTGTCTCTGTGTGTGACGTCAAGTTGTCAACCAATGAGATTACATTAACATGGTCCTGCATTGTTAAACATAGGCCAGAGTTGTTAAGCCACCTCTGTGGAGATGGAGATTTAGAGTGACAAAAACCTCCAAGAGGCTGTATGACAAAAGGGATGACTTCAACTTTCTTTTCATGTCGAGTAATGTTACAACAGCTTTAGCCTTTGGTGTTTACATTTCACAACATTTAAGGTACAATCGGACATGCTTTTTCTACCAAGATTTCAAACAGCGCTAAGATTTCAGAAGGTGTTCGATAAAGCTTACAACATAAAAGGGATAAGTATAAGTTTATGGTAGACCTGTGGAGGGCATTTGAAAATATGATACAGTAGTAACAAAAATTATGTCGGATGCAATTCCCTATTTTGACTTGTACCATACGTTCCCATTTTTGTCAGGTGACTAACCTTTGCATATATTTGGACCGGTGCCACTGATACAGCTATGGACACTTACCATTGCGAACACCTGGTGTCCTCAGTGTCCATAAACACATACTCTGTCATGCTGTCAATCACTGGACTCGCTGTTCCAGACTCAATTGGTTTACAGTCCACGTCGTACAGCTGTAACACTACTGAATGTGGCGTCAAAGCAATATTCTCATTATATATGTCGTCAGAATTGTACGATCAACTGTTCTTTTAGAAAAAATGTCACTTCGATGAAGAAAAGGTTTTACCGTTTCTATTTACAAATATGGAACATGGAACTACAATTATTTCAAGAAACAAGGCATCCCGGGGCCAGCACCAACGTGTTGTATTGGAAACACTGGTCTCGTAGGCTTCATAAAACTGTGTTGTCCCTTTCTCCTTGTGTCGAGCCCTTGGTGTCATTATCCGCAATTTAATCAGCGTACAATCGAGCATGAGTTTTCTTTTCACCTATATATCTTTGTCAAAAGTTGTTGGATCATGTTTGAAGCATTCACGGTATTAGCAAAGTTTTCGAAAATGTTTTAGGAGGACATTTGGAGGATATCTTTTACATTCCATGATCCTAAAATAGACGGAATAGTAAAATGAATTTCAGCAGTCTGAGGTTTCTAACCTATTCAGTTATCTATCTATCTATCTATCTATTTAACTAAAATTGTTACATAAAGAAGAATATGATTCGTTCAGGCTACAAAATGCCGATTGCCCTACAACGAAATGACTGCTAGACAGAGGGGAACATTAAATCTTGAAAACTGAACAGGGACTAACCTTGTTGACCTATTTACTGGAGACCTTGGGAAGAGATTTGGATATTTCAATGAATGTGCTTGTGTGGGGGCTAAATATTATTGAACCTAAACTGAAGTATTAGCTTAATGTCATTCTTATATAAGTGATGGCAGGATTTGTATAGTTTTTTCTTATGTTTGTGACAGTGCAAAATATTGGTCAGGGAACGCTCATCTTTCCTCATCAGCTGTTGTATGGTGTTTCGTGACCCTTCTGATGACACAGCAGGAATTTTATGATTGGAAGGGGAATTAAAAAAAAAATGTCTCTTTTATATCGAATTCAGCATCTGGTAAAACGAATCGTACATAGTGAAGCCCCATCTCATCCCATTGCACGCTTTGTTTTAGTTTACAGCATACGTTTATATTCTATTGACAATAATCAATCCTTTTAATCTTTGTTTTCCTTCAAATTTCACTTTTGGATTCAAATTCAGCATTCGGTAAAACATTTGCACTTTGAAGTAGGTCTTGAGATTTTCAGGATCCCGCCTTATCTTAAGCCTTTTTTAGATTGCAGCATGCATTTATATTTTTTAGAAAATATTCTCTGCTGTTAAACTTGTTGTGGCAGATGACGAAACTGGAGAATATTTGAACGTAAGATAAACATAATAATGTCAAGTTAAAATATTGTAGCAAACTTGATTCAATTCATTTTTATGCAGAATTTCACACATGATCTGTACGCCTGGAGTAAGCAATATGGAACTGTTTTTGGGTATGTATGTATGTATGTATGTATGTATGTATGTATGTATGTATGTATGTATGTATGTATGTATGTATGTATGTATGTATGTATGTATGTATGTATGTATGTATGTATGTATGTATGTATGTATGTATGTATGTATGTATGTATGTATGTATGTATGTATGTATGTATGTATGTATGTATGTATGTATGTATATTTACTTATATCATGCAAAGTCGTGCAGACTATAAGAACTCGATGAGAAAACAGCTGGTAGGTTAACAACACGTGCACGTTACCTATAAGAGGGGACCTTAAAACAGCATATGGATAAATGATGTTTATTGGCATTCAAAAATACATTTTGTATCAGATTGTATATGTTTCTTTGAGCTCAGGTTCAGAAGATATGAAGTGTTTTGTGTAATTTAACCATCTATGACGTTTCTGTTGTGCAGTATCTTTCTTGGAAGGACTCCCACCTATATTATCGCCGATCTGGAAATTCTCAAAGAGGTTATGGTCAAGAGTTTTGACAATTTCAGAAACCGGGTGGTAAGTAAAACCATTTATGGCCCCTGAAAGCAATAATGTCTGCCTTTTTGACAATGTCATCCTACTAAACTAAACACTTAACACATCAGCACACACTAGCTATTGCTGTTACTCAGAGTAACAGATGTCACGTGGTGGTAAATCATAATTTTAACAACTGCTATTGAACCCTATAAATGAACCTTAGATTTGGGCGTAAAGATAATGTAAAAAGTGTAACCATACAAATGGAATGAAACTTAACTGTATTCCTTGCTTCTGTTTTCAGATATTTTCGGTACCCTACCCCTTAAATTTAGCTTTGTTTTTCTTGGAAGATAATGCTTGGAAAAGAGTGAGAAATACCATCAGTCCTTCATTTACTGGTGTCAAATTGAGGCGGGTAAGCGATTGTTTTCGTCTATATGCTGCGTGAATGAATACACTTTGAGCAGCAAGTCAAACCATTGATTACACAATGTAATTACAGTCGCGTTTCTTGCTTACTGGGTTCCGTCCTTTTGCGCAACTTAGTGCAATAACCAGTCCAGAATTTTGAGGCAACTCATTCAACTGGATATATATATATCAATCAGTATTATTTGATACATCTAATCACTTGTATATGGCAACACTACGTTCCTTCTAATCCTTGCAAACAATCGTGCAGCGTGCTCTGTCGTACAACAGCGACAATCAGGAAATCGTGGAAATCGCAAAACGAAGCTCGGCCGCTAGAAAAGTTAGACGGTCTGGTATGGACTTGATATTATATCAATCACATTGTACGTCAAAACAAATACACTTAATAAGCGCAAAGAACACATAACAGGTGTGTAACCAGTGAGCCAGATGAATTGTGAATCATTGCACGACCCCTTCAAACAGGGGCAGTCTGTGACTAGTTAACGACATGCTAAAATTAAAATTAATTTGTTAATAACATTTTCATATGAAACAAGGAATTGGAATTTACTAATAGTGTAACCTTAGTTGTTTGTAGTGTCTCTTTTCACTGTCACACGGATTGGCTGAAAAGTAGGTCATTGTCTGAATTGGTTAATCAGACTCATGTTTCGGTTTGGATCAATATCAGTTAGAACTTGAATTTTTTTTTTTGGATTTTGTTATTGTTGAAATGAGACCTGAACTTAAAATAAATCCACACCGTATACAATCAAAACTGTGTCAATCATGACGAGGTGACAACAGGTTTAACGTCGATTTCACGATGATTAATTTATGTAGAGAGGTGCATACGCGTCTCTGTGTGTGACTTCTTGTACAGATGCCGACATATGTTGCTCTGTTAAAGCTAGACCACTGAGATGCTATACCACAGTTACACAAGGGTAATCCCCTGAGGCATATTACTGACTTCGAGCTGGCCAGTACTTGTTACCCTACAGATGTGCTTTGGTTTATAAAATCTGGAGATAGTGTCACAATTTGTGACTGCTATATGTATTGTCGAAATGAGTTTGTTTTTCCTTTCTGTATTTAGATGTGGCAGACAAGCTGGACCAACTGCATCGACTTACAAAGCGGTTGTGTTGAGAAATAAATGGGGATTGCATCGTTGCATGTTCTGCCTCTAAATATTTTAGGCTCAAAACTTTTGATAGCCCCTCGTATGGAAGGAATTAGGTTGTTTTTCGTTTCTGTATTTAGATGTGCGGAGCCATCAACGATTGTGCAAGGACTCTTACAACAAATTTCGCGAAGGTCATGGGGAAAGACGCTGGAGTCAATATGAAACAGTGAGTGTATTGTTCGCAGTATGGAGGTATTTAATTGTTTCGTTACATTTTGATGTAGATAGGTATATCACACAATTCCAAAGATTATTCCTTGTGTGATCAAAAAGAGTGTCCTCCGCCATATTTTCAGTGTGTTAGTAAATAGTACAATTGGACAGTATGATACCAAATACCAGAGTTAAAGCCCGGACAAAAATTGGTAACATGCATGCCACACTCCGTCGTGAATCATTACTCATCCGTAATCACGTCCCTATCATGGCAAACTAATGATCATAATTTGTCGTATCTGTTTGTTGCTTGACGGCGCAATCCAATAATTGACAGATCAGAATTTGAAATGACTTTGGAATGATAAACCATATTAGAGAAAACTCTAGTTTACTGTTAAAACTGCAGTATTATACGAATCGAAGTTCGAAATGTTCTCTTTTAGATACTTTGGAGCTTTCTCTATGGATGTGATTTGCCAAACTGCATTTGGGATAAAGGTTGATTCGCAAACAGATTTCAACCACCCGTTTGTCGTTCATGCTAAGACGTTATTCCAACCAACAAAACTGGCAGTGGTATCCTCAGCATTGTCAGGTAAGAGACTAGGAAACTTATTCAATAATGCCGGTTAAAAAAAATTCCCTTCACGCTGCATAAATTCAGTAACAGTAGCTGAATGTAATGGCTTCGTTAAGTGAGTGAGTATGGATTTTTGCTTTTTGTTTGCCGCTTTTTGCAATATTCCAGCAATATCACAGTGGGGACACATGAACTGGGCTTCAAATATATGTGGGGATGCAAACAGGGCATGACATAAATGTGACGTGCGAACGCTTTAACCATCGGTACATCCCAATGCCTGCATTGTTATTAGGGGTCAATGCCTTCAGGCAGGAGACCTATTGTAATCGTTCGGATTATTATTATTATTATTATTTATTATTCCGCCGATTTTTGTACCAAAAATACCTCCTAAACCAATGATCCGAATCGCTTACAAGAAATCAAACAGATGCTCACCGAGGTGAAGATATTCCCCTTAAAATCTCTAGGCTCTAGGCCCAATAGCAAAGGGGAGATAATTCAAAATAAATTCCAAAATTTCAAAGTTTGACATCTAATATCTCAAGAACTCATTGTTCCAACACTTCCAAATCTCTTGTACAGATGCACAATCGAATTCCCAACAATTTTGCCTGGACGGGTCAAGTCGCTAAAATGTACCGTTTGGCAGTTATTTTTGTTTTCAGTTTTTGGCCATGTTTTTCAGCAGTTTTCTGAGTAGTTTGCTCCCAAAATGTGCTGAGCTCCAACCATCAGCTCTAGACATTCCAAACATTCCATAACTGATGTCCAGTAACCATTGTGCCGTAGACCCAAGAACAACTGAGATACAGCCTTTTAAAGAGGGAACTATTTCTTCTCCAGAACTTCTTTAAAGGTACCTCACCCCCGCGACCCCGGCTGTATTTGGAAGATCCGCTCGCCTGTCAAAAAACGTGTTCTGGCTTCGTTTTGGAATGATGATTTCTTGCCCTCAAATACAATAGATAGAACTAAAGCCAAGGATCCCTCATCGTTGCTTGCAACGACATTTTAAAGGTTGAAATGGATTCTGTTTCTGTTTGAAGATGCTGTTCCAGCACTTGGACCAGTCTTCAATAAGCTCGGCCTTGGACTCTTTCCACAAAAATCCGTTGCCTTCTTTGAGACGATCACCGGTGAAATGATGAAACAGCGTCGAAATGATAAAACACACCACCAAGAGGTTTGATTAAATCTATCGCTTTTATCAGAGAGAGATACGCACATGAACATGCATGTGAATGTGTATGAGAGAGATACATCTCCGTGTTATGAGGAGATGAGATTTATAATTGTCTGTAAGGTCGTGCTTGAGAATATTTCGCTCATATGACGACGTGCATGCGTGTGTATGTGTATGTTCGGCGGCTTGTACTAGCCCAGACTGAAGGTGGTTTTATAGTGCTAGCCCACTGAGATACCATGCCGCAGTGAAGCATGAATACCCCACTCAGACACATTATACTGACTCCGAGCCGACCAGTCCTTGTTGTATCCATTAATGCCGAGCGCCAGGCAGGGACCAACAAGTACCACATTTTAACGTCTTTTGGTATGACGCGGTCGGGGATCGAACCCGCGACGTTCCGCACTCCGGGCAGACGCTCTAACCACTACACAACGGAGGCGGTCTGTCTGTAAGGGGAACATATCAGTTACCTCACCTATCATCTAACCATACATTATGTAATATTGTGTTTCGTGCGAAATTAAGTTTCCAAAATGTATAAAAGGGAACAGACTTCCTGCAAATGATGATGGATGCTTCAATAGAAGAGGGCAATGACGACAAAAGCGCTGATGGTCAAACGGTCAAACATTCAGTCCGGCGTAAGTAGGCACATTAGAGAAAGAACAGACTCCTATGTATTAAAACGATGGTTTTCTGACATTTTTTGCGTTTCATTGTCACACGTATAAATCATTTTTCAATGACCTTTTTTCGATTAGTCAGATGTATTTATTGTACGTAACGTCATCGGACTTTGTCGAGGAAGTTAGTTATTTGCCCTCTCTATGTTTTACTGATCGATGTTACAGGGTATACAGTATTTTGCAAGCAAACAAAATGGAACAAATAGACTATGTATATACTCAAGACAACTAGAAACCTGACACCACTTCATTGGTAACAATTGGGAGGGACAATTTGTTTTAGGTTTTGTTCTGCCATACACACGGCCATGACATGTTGGGTGTTTCAGCGTGGTCTTGGTGACCGACATTATGGTTTGGGACAATTTTGTTCCAATGGTTGATTAACACGAGATTGATTGTCCAATCATGCTACCAAAAAGTATTCGTTGGGACGAGGTTTTGAATGTCAGACTCCTTCTTACATTGATTCTTCAACATGGTCCTGAACATTTTAACAAGACAACGCTAAGTCGCAGTTCTGACGTCATGGAACGTCACATATTAGTTTACTTGCGTATATATAATAAATTATGCATTATTTCATAAGAACTATGCTTCCAACTACTGTTCATTGCCCGTTTTGTTACCTGACAACAAAAGTATGACACATATACTGGTGTAAAATAACTAATTTGTCACGTGGCAAATTTGCGGTGTAAAATTTGCCACGTGGCAAGTTTTTAATCGAGTTGAGTATATGTATTTTAGAAGAAAACCCCCATTAAAATTGTAAAGTTACAGTGATGTGCGTTAAGAATGACATATCCAGGATAATTATAGAACGTAAGTGATGTGACAGATGCTCATTAGACTCGTGTCAAATTTACAACTAGAAGGAAAAACAAAAGTTCCAACTTACAGATCTATCGACGGAAGAAATAGTTGCTCAGTGCATACTGTTTTTTGTTGCTGGTTACGAAACTACAGCGTCCACCCTTACCTTCATATCTTACAACCTGGCGATGAATCAGGATGCACAGGGGAAAGAAATGTTGCGAAATGTCAGTATCCCAAAGTACAAGTTGCCTTTGGGTTTTAAAGTTGACTGTCATTTTCTATTCGTTGTTTTTAGTCTCGTCTATGACGTTCGTTTTCTTTGTCCATAGTTTGGATATTGATAAACTGTTTCATTCACTAACATTATCAAATAAAGAATCACGTAAATATTACAACTATTTATGTTTTATTGTGCTTAGAAATGTGACACATCAGTAGTTCATAAATAACGTGTTTCATATTATTCTTATTTGAAATTATTGTGAAGGTAACTCAACAAGAGTATACTTAAAGATAAGGAAGAGCAACTTTCTCCATCTCTGTAAGGTCCCCTGCCCTCTTTCTAACTCAAACGTTATAATCACTCACTCCAAATACTGGGATATTGACAGTCTGTGTTTGTCTGCCGCCAGGAGGAACCAAACTATGACAACATTGGGAAACTGAAGTATCTGGACAACGTGATCACGGAGACGCTCAGACTCTACCCGCCGGCTTTTGTGTAAGTGACACAATAGGGATATAAAGGCAATATAATGTAATCTAGTATTGTTTATAGCATAAGGCTACTACAGTTTGTCTAGTTACACGGTGGAATTCTAGGTTAGAATGGTTCCCAGCAACCGATACAGGTGGTAGGAGATGACCATGTAGATCGTTTGGTCAGGCTTGGGGTCATTGTTGATTGTGTGACGTTGTACCACGACTGATCAGATCTTTGATCACAATACCGGACATGTCCCTGTCTGTTCCTGGATCGATTGTTACAGCTCGCAGTCATATATAGCTGGAAGATTGCTCAGTGAGGCGTTCCACAACAAACAAACATTAGCATATCACCCAGCTATCAGAATTTACATACAACAAACGCACAGGGTTTGTAAACAAAGCAGTATTATCTTCCATATATCTTTCCACATTACTATAACTAAATACTGAACCCAGCTCAGTCATTCATTGACATAACAATATTTTTGCAAGGAACCTGGTAAAATGTAACATGTTAAGCGTCATTGCACAACAACTAAATCACATTTTAAAACATCCTACCTTTCTCCAAGCTTATCCAAGCTTATTCTTCATTCTAGGATTGACCGAACTGTTTCTGAGCCCACTCAAATCAAGGGCCTAACTTTCTCTAAGGGTCAAGATATCTTCATTCCTGTGATGGCCATACACAGAAATCCTGAGCTCTACGACGATCCTGATTCCTTCAAGCCAGAAAGGTATGGGTCTGACATCGTGATATTCTAGCTGGTGATTTTAAAACATGCAAAACAATCAATTCCCGAAAATATTGTTAACAAACATAACCGAGCCCCAGAATATCAGATGGTCGGCCTTCATTGAAGTCCATATAGAACCATGTAGCCGTACTCGGCTATACATGTGATTAACAGGAAGTAAACGAGGAAACATCTAAAACCTACACCTCTTTTAACTTTCCTGCAAGATCTAGTTTATACTCTCTGCCATAACTGAAATACTGTTGTTCAAAGCGGTGTTATACACCTGAGGAGTATAATACACATTCCCCGGACTCACTCATGCTTACTTTGAACCCACATCGTGTAAACTAACCATCCTACAATTTTCGGTACAATAAGTTTTGACTATTTGTTAAATGTATCACAGTAACGTACATGTGTTAAAAGCGTTGCCTTGAACAGATAGACTGAAATATTATAATTAAGTAACTGCAAGAAACTGTACTTCAGGTTTGAAGACCAAGACAAAACTGTTGCCTTCCAAGCTTTCGGATTTGGCCCCAGGGCCTGCATTGGGATGCGGCTTGCTCTTGTTGAAGTTAAAGTTGCTTTGGTTAATGTTCTGAGGGCCGTGAAGTTTGATCGTATGCCCGACACACCGGTAGGATTCTTTCATTATATAATTTTAGAACCATACATTTTATGATCTTCCTGTAAGAGGTGTGAATGTTCCAATTTTGAATAAAGATATAGAGCATCAGTGGAACATCAGTCTGTACAAAAACCCACTAAACTTAGCAATGAAATGGAAGATTCACTTAAATAATTTGAATTACGAATACTGTGTATGAGTGCAAACAACCCTATGCTTATAAATAAAGAAAAACGTTTGGGAAATAGATTTGATCCACAACACCTTTTGGTCAGGTTTAATGCCACAAACATTTCTTTTATTAACTTAGCATACTTAAATATACCACTGAACATACAATGAATCTCGGGGACTTCAGTCCACCAGCAAAAAACATCGACCCAGTTGAATTTAGAGCGTTAGAGCAGAAGAATACACAGTCCAGACTGTACTCAGAGACAAATTCCGTATGATGTAAAGGGACAAATAGCTGTGAAAATTATATTATGAATGAAGAACTGGAAAGCTAGGTGTTGCCGAAAGGATAAGCATGCTCAGTCAACAAATGAAACAGAAATCACATCAACGAGGTTATCAAACAACGTTTTGGTTATGACCCAAACGTCAGGATTATCAAACGACAGCACTCTCATGCAACTTTCGGGTTATCATGCTACGTTAGGGTTATCATACAACTTACTGGTCTCCATGCAAATATACATCTCTTCAGCGTAGCATTTAACATTTGCCAGATAACCAAACAGATTACATCTTTGAATTCATGTAATTCCGTATTGGTTTCGCTAACCTACATTTGAATATATTGTGTTAACTTAATAATGAGAAAGGCCCCCAAACAAATCACTGCTAACTTAGTCCTGTTTTGGTAATAAAAGAAATCTTAATTCCCAGGATTTTAGAGAATTGCTTTTTTGCTGGAATAAGGACAGTTTATTTCTAAAGGAAATTCACAAAACGGCTTTGCAATGGAAAAGGGTTAGTTTGTTTCTGAATGTTGTTCATTGATCATTGCGTTCTTGTTTAGGCTATAGACATAACCACGTACTCCTATTCATGTTACAACTGCATATATATTGTTTTCTTCACAGGAAGTATTGACGTTTGCTCAGAATCCAACTATTCTTCAACCAGACAAGGACATCATACTGAAAGTGTCTCCAAGATGTTGAAAACGGCGACAATGCAACATTAGTTCAAAGAATGTATATGTCTCCAAATTGTGTACAAACCAATGATTATATATATATGTTTTACCACTTTAAATCAGTGGGCATCGAAAACTGATTGTCTTCCACCTTGAATTCTTATAATAATCAAACGAGAAGCCTTGCACTTTTGGCACATCTGTATTGCTTGTAAATCTTGTTCTCTGGTGTGCTGTGCTGATGTGACACTCAGCCTGTAAGACACTCAATCCGTAAAGTGAGTGCCATTGGCTTAACCTGGCTCTGTATGTTTTAACGCAAAGTTTAGGTGAAACTTGAAGTTATGCAGGTCTCAGGCGTTTATTACCTTGGTGAAGCAAGAACAGGTATGACGCTAACCAAATAAACACATTCAGGGACATGAGCTGATGCCGGTATGAGCTAATGCCCGCATTCAAGTGTGTACATTTCAGATACTTTCCTGTTTCCATGACATACTGAAATTTGTATATCTCATTATAACTTCTGAATAAATTTTACCATAAGTTACTGTAATTATACATCTCAGAAATAGAGGCTAAGGGAGTTTTGAAATTGAGTCAACATGCAACCAAACACAATACGAAACAAAGCTTTCCCAATTTATATATCTCCAAACGCTTTGTAAGTATAAGATTTCTTGCTCTCACAGCATCGAATAATTCTGAAAAGACCATGCGATTCCCGCCGACATGTAACATATTCTGAAAGCCATTAAAAACGCAATTGGTATTTGTTGTCCTGAAACTTACAAAAGTTCTATTGAAGATTTTTTCCTGCGATACAGAGGATGTAGGGATAAAAGGCTGTTATTCTGGCCCATTTCGAGTTCGAGTCCCGGAGCATTCCTCTCACATGAACTTTGATACTTAAAACTGAACCTTTGACATTTCTCGTAAACACAACCACATTCATGAAACACGTTGTGCACATGCATTACCTGCACCCAGGCCCTGTAAAAGCACAAGGAATTGTGGAACTCAATCACTTTGAAAAATGCCACACTTGACACAAGACGAAAGGAATCAGGTTATCGGTATGGTCAGCCAAGGTGCTTCAGATGTGATGATTGCCAGGCACTTTAATGTGCATCCATCCACTGTAAGTCGACTCAGACAACGTTTTCGGGATACCGGAAGTGTTGCTGATCGTCCGCGACCTGGTGCACCACCTGTGATAACAGCTCGACAAAACCGCAATATCCGAGTTTCACACTTGCGAAATCGGTTCCAAACAGCTGATGATTAGGCAAGGAGGACAAGTGGGATAAGTCAACGTCATTTCAGCGCCCAAAAGGTGGAAGGACGCCTTGCTGCCTTCAACATCCGGTGTCGTCACCCGTACAGTGGTCCAACCTTATTGCATCGCCACAGACTTGCCAGACAGCGATGGGCAGCAAATGGGGCCAATCTTGGCAACAGGACATGGCCAGATGTCATTTTTTCAGATGAATCCAGGTTTAACTTATCCTTTGCAGATGGACGTCAACAGATTTATCGACGTAAAGGAGAAAGACTTGCGCCAAACTGTGTCCTTGGACATGATCGTTTTGGAGGGGGTGGTGTCATGATCAGACCACAGACCATCAGAAGCTGCAGACCATCCAACAGCTGTTCCTGAGAAATGTGTGTCTTTCAATGCCCCAAAGACTGCGAGCATGTCTTGCAGCGCACGGTAGACACACACGATATTGACTGCAAGTGACCCCCTCCTTTGTTTGATGTCGTTGTTGCTTCACTGATGTTGTTGTTGACTGGACATTTTCAGATAAAATTATTCACAGATGTTCATTTAAAACATATCTGCCAGTTTGGTGTATATATGTTGAAATTAGTGTGAGTAAAGAAAGTATGAATGTCAAATTGCATTTTTAATGGCTTTCAGTATATATTAAAGATTTATAACTGTATCGAAATGTTTGCGCTGTATTCATGCCGATGCATTGAACATATTCTGACTGTTTAACCATATTTTAACCTTTGTCATGCCAGTGTTTCCATATGGGTACATGTCATAAAAGGCTTTGTAACTCTTTTATGCGTGAAGATATGTTAATGCTTTTGGACCATATTGTTCTTAAGATAATTGCCAATGTTCTAACATTTCAAAATTATTCTTTGAATCTTTTTTAAAGAATTGACCAGGGTCCAAAATGCCCCCAAAACGAGTTTTCAACCGAAACCGTTCAATAAAAGAATTGACAAATACAATTGCAGTATTTTAAGACTGTTTTCACATGTCCTTACAAACAAATGATATAAAAGGGAATAAAAGGGCAAAATACATTTTATCATGGTAGCAGGAATTAAGGTCAAAATTTTGAATTGGCAGGATCATCGTTAAGATCAATATATTCACATAAACTGTATTAACAGATAAGAAAAACAACAAATTATCTGTTCAATTATTAATTTCGAATGATATATCGTCCTTGATAAAACCAATGAATTTATTTATGGTTATTGAATTTTCTGTCCTTTTGACAGCAATGTGATTGGCAGGATTCGCGAAAAGCATGCTAAATATGCGGGTCTCGGCTTTGCAATGTCTCGCTTGCTTCCCAAGTCTACTGTCATCAGGTTCCCCATTGTTCTCGCTGCCCTTGGTTTGGTACCTCCTGATCTCTTGGCGCAGATCAGGAGAGTGCCCGGGTTCTCAGCCAGGAGCGGGGAGTCTACATATTCTCAGGAAAGTTCTTGGTGGGTTCGACTAGGCAGCGTTTCCTGAGAGAAGTCCCATTCGCTGTCTGGGCTGCATGTAGAGGGGACAAGGGCCCTGAGCTGATGATGAACCTTACCAGCATGACTGTGCCAGGATCACCAGAACGGTCTTTCCTATATACTATTTTGAATCTGAAAAACATTAAAATAATCTATTTCTATAGCGCCTAATTTCCTCCATCCATACAGGTTGCTCAGTGGAGCTTTGTACAGGACATATAAGAAAAAGTAATTGAGAATAGCTAGTCACAGGCTTGCTTGAAGAAAAGTCTTAAATGAGGTTTGTAAGAGAAAGTCCTTACAGGAAGAGGTGGATCGTTCCACAGTAGAGGATCTGAGGCAGAAAAAGCTACAGTGAGGACGAATGACAACAGAACTAGACTTCAGAGGAGCATGCTTATCCAATATTCGTGATAAGCATACATCAGTCTTATCATCAACTCCACAAGAATCAGAGAGTGACTGTAGCAGCTCAGAAGATCCAATGTCATTAGAAGACTGCCTTATGTCTATATTTCATGTCTTCCTGTAGCTAATTTCTTTTCTCACTTGTTTAGTGAGTTTGAAAGAGCACTGAATAAGTGAATGATCATATATCTGTTTGTCACTAACATCAACGACATCGAGAATATGACAACTATCCTTGGGTATGACTAGGTCTAGTGTATGACCTGATCAATAAGTTGGACCAGACACGTGCTGTAGGAGATTGAAATATACCAGCATGTCACAGAAAGATGTAGCAAAGGAGTCAGACACAGAATCAACATGGATATTGAAATCCCCCATTAAAACCAGATGACCTGGTTCAAGAGCAGGTTTGACAAGGCTGGACTAGCATTCAGGAACACTTGCCACATGGTTTTTGTCGCTGAAATTTTGAGAAGAAAACCCATTCCAGCTGCGTTAGTGGAGGTAGCAATCAATACCAATCTACTGTAAACAAATATTTCATTACCTAGGTATTCCCAGAACATTCCTCCATAATCAATTTAGGTGTTAAAGAATGTTTGTTCACTATATTTCAAAGAAATAGAAGATGTGTTACAAAAAAAGTAGTGATTGTTTCATTCTTTACGATGATCCTGCTAATGTTCCCATATGGGAACATACCTGTATCCCTGAAACCGTTCTTGATATCACTATGAAATTGTGGATTTTTCTTAGTCACACCATTATGAGATTATGTCTGACAATGGGATGTAGTACCGGTATGATAAAGGTTAAACAGGCTTCTGTACATGTGGTGTAATAGCTGCAAACATCAAACATTCATTTACGCTGAATTAACATAATAATCAAGGCAATGTCACTTTAGTGTTTCTAATCCATACTAATGATATATACAATTACGTTGGTTGTGCGAGGAAAAAACAAAAATATAGTTTCGATAGATGAAGCATGACAATCGGGACGAAAGAGAGAGAGCTGTTCACACAAGCGATGTCACAGCCATTACGATGAATATAAATGCAGGCAAACCTGACCAGCGAGGTTAGTTTTGTAGGTACATTTGCACGGATTAGGTGAGCGTCTTTGCGCTGGTTCTTTAGAAGTTCACTAGCTCTGAATAATCTTAGTCTCGCTATGTTAACATCATCAGGACAGACAAACCGTCAGAGGTTTGCGAAGATTGCAAAATTTCATATCAAGCCCAAAATGTTTTCATGTCACAGCAATGATAAATCTATAAACACTTGTCTTGCAAATAGATCCTCACAATACAGGATCACGAACATACGTTCATTCCCAGTCATTACTACCTATAGCTAGAGCAGACAAGCGCAGTGTATGCACACGACACCTTTTACAGTGAAGGTCACCCCTTTCCCGACCACCAAATGCAATCAGTATGCATGTGTCAATCCGGGAACTCAGCCCACATCACGGTCAAGCTGACACGTCCCCATTTCGCAATAACTAGGACACGTATGTTTTTTCGTCGGTGTTATAAGAGCCGTTTACTGATTTAGTCGTCATATCGACATGGAGATCTTGGGGCTTGTGGACGTGCCGCTGTATCTCCTCCTGTGCTTGGCGGCCACAGTGCTGATATACATGTGAGTAAGGAACTTTGTTTGTGGAAAACAGTTAGCACCGTCGCAGCATATCTAGGAGGCTTCATTGTGTAACAGAATATAATTAGATAGAATTTGACATGATATTGTCGAAACAATACTAATTCTAAAATGATTCCATTTTATACATTTATGCAGAATACATTACCATTGACAGCAGCAACAAATAGAGTAGGGTTACTCAGTCAAGTTATAACATACTGTTAAACGTTCACCCTATTCAAGTA